ATAAGACACGGCAGATTGGATAATTGCAACGGGCCATGAAGTAAATGACCTATTGCTAGGCTCCTTCTTCCCCCTCGTTCAGATGACGAGAGATCTCGGCAGAGATACAGAATTAGCATATCTCGCGGGTGAGTAGGTGAACTGAGAGATGACGAATTAGAGAAAGATTTTGTCAAACGATACTATAATATTTTAACGATCGATTTTATAATAACGCCAACAATGGGCTTTCTAACTAGCATTAATTCTTCAATTTACATTTCGCACTGTAAAAATTACAGCATTTTATACGTTTAATCTAATATCAGTTCGGATTTTCTACTCTCTCAATTTAATAGTTGGTTCTTTTTTTGGTTTTTTTTTCAGTTAATTGAGTGATACGGTCTTTCTGTATTTGCAAATCTATAAAAGGAAGATTATGAGTATTTTCAACATTATGCAGCTTCAGTTTTGAACAAACATATCCAATCGTTCTTTTCTTCCTCGCTCTGCTGCTAGTTGCCGCAATCATCAATTGGTATTTCTCGGACGATGAACCACCAGCGGATATCGACCATGAGAGGGCTGAAAAGAAATCTGTGATGGGGTAAGAATCTCAAAATTACACATTCGTCAAATTTTCTTTGCTTTTGCAGGCTTTTGTGCCCAAGTGATGTGGACGATAGTGTGGAAGATCCACTTTTTGGAAAACTTTACGAGGAGAATGTGTCTAGGTAAGCAAATATTAGGAAATTCATATGCCTTCAGGAAAGTAAGCGATTTTAGAAAAGCCTATGTGGAAAAACAGCCGGGTCAAGAAACCCTTCGACACCGCAAATCTACGAACTACACACTCGAAGACTAACTTCATCACTACTCTTGTCCTTAGCGCTAAATTTTCTCGTGATAAGCTAGATTTGATCCTCCTCCCGTCCCTCTTTGTTCTTGTATAATCCAGCTGCCCCATATGGGTGTCGTCTGCTCCACGAGCTCTATGCGTGATCCCCTTGCGTAACCGATCTGCCGCCTTTCCATTAAACCACCAAATAAAACACATCGGTAGCCCTTTTGCCTAATGTGTTAATGCTATCCGTCTCGCTCTGGTTAAGGAGGTACTTCCATCACAAAATTAAAGAGCCACCGCAGCGTATTACTGTAACGAGATGACATCGACACCTCAAATAATACGATGAAGGTGGCAATCGGTAGGTAACGCTGAGTAAAGGTAAACAGAACCCTACTGTTCTGTAAACCAGAGATAATTGTCTTCTGCTGCTTATAAGTTGAGAACGTACTGTGGTTATTTTTAAACAATAAGCAGCACCGAAATACACTTTCTAAGAGCTAATTTTGCATGCAATTTAGTA